ATATTTATTTTTTCACTTCCATATATATATATCTATATATATATATGGAAGTGAAAAATAAATATTGGTAAGTGAAACGGCCAAAAACTGGAGGATATCGATACTCGAGTAGACATGTAGCTTGAAGTTTACGTTTCTGAGGTCCGATCTGATTCTACAGAATCTAAGAGGAACACATCACTAGCGGGGGTCTTTTACACAAATTCAGACAGAGCAACTGTGTACGAGGCTAAAACTAGGCTACTTAAACATCTGATGGACCATATGTATACAAACATATAACCCAACTAATTAACAAATCAAACATTAGCCAGATACATGGCGTTGGGCCGTCTAGCGAGATTAGACGAGAATTGTCTTCAGCTTAAGGTGATGACGTAGTGGATTTCTTCTCCTTATGATTTCATTGTAACAGAATCATTCGAGGAAGTCATTCTAAAATGGTTAAGGAAAAAACATTCTCTTATGTATATGTATAAGGTCAGAACTGAGAAGATTGTGAACGGTACGGGATTGTAGACCCGCAACTAAAGCAATGCATATCTCAGGCGTATCACAAATGCAATGGCTGCGAAGTTAACCGGATCAAGCGCATTTGATGATATGCTACTCCTACGAAGTGTATCTGAAGACGAGCCGCGGCGTCGGGATATCATTGATTTCGTTGAGCATGTAGTCCATGTCCGAACATACGAAAGATAAGTATGTCTGTCACGTGTTTGATGTCGCATCAAGCAATAACGTGATGTATCTTCTGAGACTCTGAATTGATTTATCTTTCAAACGGTGGCCGAGATTATAAATGTTTCGTGGATTTGGGCTGGCCAGCTATAATGTGTACTGACAACTGTAGTGAGAATACAGAAGATGTCATGACAACACTGTTATTCGTTGCAGACCCACTCCATACGATGGATGTACCTTACAAACCTCAGACATAAGGTGCTAATGATATGCGACATAGACTGACATGTGGCCTTACTTGATCAATTGGGTACAGCATAAATGAACGTGACACCGGATTAAGTCACTTGAATCCTGTAAACTGACGGTCCATACTGATCCGGAGAATTGTACTCCAAGGTATTGACATTCACAAAGACAAAGGTGTGATTATTTCTATTGTTAGACAGAAAATAATTGTTGTAAGTACTTATAAAACAAGCACTGTGAATCGATCCACATCCGTAGCTGTCTCAAAAAGTTCCACAAATATATCCGACATTTGCCCGTACCACGCACTTATATTAGACTGGCTTATACGCACGACTAATGAACTTGATTGTACTCGTCTTCTCTTCATATATACCGAGCCTTTCTCCAAGGCTACGTTGCTATCAGTTGGCATTAGTATCTGGTTTGGGAGATCAAAACCACAATAGTTCATGGAATCATTTTCTTTGCATTGAAAGGGTTCGAGTCCTCCGAGTATGAGTCGATAAATTTGATACCATGATGATTGATCGTTAGGCCTAAGGAGACTAGATACATTTGATACAAACGCACAGTAAGTAATAGAAACTGCATTGCAAAATAGCTCACAGAATTTATCTTTGTTTGCCAGTTGGTGCGTGCGGTGTGCTAGGCGTCGACGTTGAGATGCAATCATGTTGCTTACTAAGCGAAGACGGGAGGCATCTTGAGAATCACAACGGTGCCTGTCATATTGAAGATGTGCGATCGTTCATTGTGTCCCATTCCTCAACCTTAAGATAGAGATCTTGAATAAAAATAGAACGACTGATTAGGTAGCTTTTAGTCTGTTCCTGATAGGAGTCAAGAAGGCCAGATAAGAATAAGTCCTGTGCATAGTCGTTAGATAAGAGATGCCCTGCTCGCGTGCGTTCCGGAATAGAAGTTCGCAGGAAAAAGCCCATTCGTGGAGTGTTTCATCGTCTCTACGCTTGAATCGTCGAAGGTATGCATGATTGATATTCTTGTGGTTCTTTGTAATCTTCGAATCAATAAATTAAGCAGCAGCCAAGGGTGACTAAGCAATGTATCATTATAAAATGAAGTCCGAAGATCTGTAGAAAGAGAGCAAAAATGATCTGGTGGGCTCGTTGGTAGGCACCAGTTTCCTCCTGGGCAGTAGAAAATCATGCCGCAGTAATATTGGTGTTGGAGCAGTGGGAGAAGATCGGTGGTATATTCAGTCGCGGCGGTTCAATAAAGATCAGTTTTCCAAATATCGTATTGTTGGCCAGACAGTTCTAGAAAAGTACAAGTTCATTTGGTGGGATGTTTATCATTAGTGGATAACATTGTGGAAAGTTTGGGTGGGTTGGTAATCACGGGAGTGTGAGTAAGAGGGTATGCCTCGGAACGTTGACGTGGTTGGCGGGAAAGGGGTGCAGTCTAGTCGGTGGGTAATTGGTCGGAAGGAGCAGCGTAGCCTTCGTCGTTGGTGGTGGGAGGGAGTGGGGCTTTTGCCTCAATCTGTTACAGAAACAGATCCGTCGTCCGGTATCTGATCGCCCATACCCTATTGTTGGTTCGGCCTATGACACTTCCAATACAGGCAAACCAGCACATACCGAGTGCATCCGTGGTCTGGTGCGGCATCGGTTTACCCTCAACCTCGCTCCTCAACCGAATTATGACGGATAACCTGGTCCTACTTGGCATTTAGTACTCTGCATTAACCCATTCCACAGCACTACACAACCCGATCCGAACCACAGAGGTGGGTACGCTATATAGTAGGTCAGACACTCGATGGTGCCAGTTTTTTTGTCAGCACCGGCCTGAATTGACCCAGTGCATATCCTCCATTATCGACTCACTCGGTCCAAGCTTCAACAGGGAATTTACTGACCACTTCTTCCCATCGATCTTCCCCGAACCACTACAACGGCTATGAGAGCCATACCATATGTACAAACATTGTAACTTAACTC